CTGTGTGTTCTAGTTTCTGTACTACTAATATTGCGCTTTCAATTGGTATCAGAGCGGGTACTTGTGTTTTCTTAAACAGGTAAGGATCCTGCGGAATGGACAACTTCAAAGAGTTGGTGGCGCACTCCAAGGTGATCTTGGAAGTAGGAAACTATGGGTTCTGGAAAGCCAGAATGAAGGCGACGATCAAGGGTATTGACCCACTCGCATGGAAGGCAGTTGAGTCTGGATGGAAGCATCCTGTTGCAAGAGGTGAAGATGGTAAAGATGTACCAAAATCCGAAGAACTGTGGACTGAAGATGAGAACAAGTTTGCCAAGTTCAATGCTAGGGCACTCACAGCCATCCACTGCAGTGTTGCGAGGAAGCAGTTTGAGTTGATTCAGGGATGTGAGTCAGCAAAAGAAGCATGGGATATCCTTCAGAGGCACTTTGAGGGAACAACGAAAGTGTTAAGCTCAAGAAGAGACATGTTGGATACTCGTTTTGAAGATCTGAAGATGGACGAGAATGAATCAATTGCTGATTTCAGTTCCAAGCTAAGCTCATTGTCACAAGAAGCACTCACACTTGGGAAAAAATACAAAGAAAAGAAACTGGTGAAGAAGTTCCTGAGGTGCCTGCCCGAAAGGTTCAGAGGTCACAAATCAGCCATGGAGGTAGCTCTCAACACTGATGACATAAGCTTTGATGAGGTAGTGGGTATGATGCAAGCTCATGAGATGGAATTAGACAGTGGAAAGAAGGTCAAGGGAATTGCACTAGCATCTGTTGAAAAAGATGAAGCAAGTGATGATCCATTAAGCTTACTTGTGAGAAGATTTGATAGAGCGCTCAGAAAAGTAGAGCAAGGGCAATCCTACAAGAAGTTCGGTTCAAAACCCAAATCTGCTGAAGCTGAGAAGAGTGTCAAGAAGTCAGACGTAAAGTGTTATGAGTGTAAGGGATATGGCCATGTGCGAACTGATTGTCCCACAGTAAAAAGGAGGGAGTTTCAATGCTTTGGATGCAAAGGATTTGGTCATACTCAGGCTGAATGCGAGACGGACAGCAAGAAGAAGAAAGAGAAATCGCTAATTGGGATCGATGACAGCGACTCCGACAGCGATAGTGAAGAAGAGCTGAACAACTTTGTGGCATTTTTGGGCATCACGGAATTCGTGTCTGACTCAGAAAGTGAAAGTGAATCAGAGAAAGAACTAACTGAAAGCTATCGAGAAATTCGCGAGACAGTACTAAGACTTGGAGCTGAGAATCAAGCACTTGCGAAAGCTAAGGAAAGTCTTGAGGCAGAACTGGAAAAGGTTCGTTTGGAACTCCAACAGGAAACTGAGCTAGCCAAAGAGAGTGTGAATCTAATGAAAGAAAAGCTAGTCCTTGCCAAACAAGCTGAAGATCTCAGACATGAAGTGATGGCTGAAAAGAAAATCACCATGGAACTACAATCGGAATTAGATCAGCAATACAAGAAGATCAAGATGCTAACCGGTACT